AATAATAATAATAATAATAATAATAATAATAATAATAATAATAATAACAACAACAACAATAATAAAAGTCAGCTATTCTACAGTTGGCTATTTTAAAATCCATATAACATTTGCAAAGAAACACCACTGTCCTTTTCTTTCTTTTTTAAAATATATTTTTATTGTTTACACCTATAAATATCCAACAAGTGCAACCATTCTGGCATTTCTCGGCCATACATACAAAGATATTGCTAAACCATTAACATTCATATTATTGGTACAGTATTCACAGTCTAGGTCCGTTTCATCCTAACTATTTTTTGTTCCGACCTTCCCCTCTCTTTTGTAACCATTGATAAAACTTATTCCAAGTAACCGCTGTCCTTTTCTGAATGCTCTTGTAAACCGAATACATTTTGGATGCCTGCGAGGAAAAGTAACAGGAAAGAAAGTAGCAGTTGCAGTCCCATTTCCCTACCTTCCGCTAATTTATTTTTTCAAGCATACCCCTCCCCTTTTGGAAAGGAGGCAAGGGTAGTCATGGATTGTTAAAAAAATGCAATGGGTATTTAATGGAAAGAAGGCAAAATTTAGCCATACCTGAATAATCTGAACTTTCTGCTACTTGGAGAACGATGCCTGGGCCATATCGTTTGCCGTTCTTGTCCCATGGAGCAAGGGTCCCATCTCCTGCAGATAATGGCTGCCACCTGGCATCATCATAATGGATGATGTCATAGAGAGGTGTTTCTTGTCTTCGAAATGGAGCCTTACCTTTTCGTGATCGCTGGCATCTTTCAAACTCAACTAGGACATGTTCATTGGAATTCTGTGAAATGAAGCCAGAAATACCACCCTGTAGACCTGTATAAAGGTAAATGCTTCCCCTGTCCAGTCATGTCCAACTCTAGGGGAGCAATGCTCACCTTTTTTAGCCAAGGGAGTGAACATTGTCCAAAGACGCTTCCATGGTCATGTGGCCAGCATGACTATATGCTGAGGCACACAGAACATTGCTACCTTTCCGCTGAAGTGGTACCTATTCATCTACTTACATTTTCATGCTTTCAAACTGCTAGGTGGGTAGGAGCTGGGGCAAGTAATGGGAGCTCACCCTGTCATGCGGCACTCAGGTCTCAAATCTGGGCTTTCAGCTTTCCAGCATTTCTAACCATTGAGCCATCGTGCCCCTTAAGCCTGTATAGCATTATCTTATACTGACCACCTTCATTTTGAAGCACAAGTCTCCAATATATAAACAGAGATATTTATGATATTTCAGTTTCAAAGCAAAACACACACTAAGTTTATGTCTTTATAGTATATTATTCTTAAAGTGGTTTGCACAGCCCAACCATCAAACTGAAGAAATGTAAACAGAGTAGGTGACATTTCACCTGAGCCTTAGCAAATAACTTTATCCTGTAGTTTTTTCATTGTTGTTGAAGCACTTGGGGGTTTATCTGTGTCCTGTCTACTCAGGTGACCCTGAGGACACAGATAAACCTCCAAGTGCTTCAATGACCCTCTAAAAGGATGCAAATGACAAGCTGTCTGCAAGGAGTATACATCCTTCCATTCCCCACTATCCTGTCAAAGCTGAAGAAGCTTCCTGGATGAGAAGCAAAATGTCTTCAAAGAAAAAAAACAAGAAACTCCAGTTGTCTCCTGAAAAAAGCACCTTTGGGACAATCATGGCCTAGATGACTGAGTATCTCTATAGACTTTTTCTAGAAAGATTATTTCTCTTGAATGGCTCATGGCAGTTCGAGGAAGAGAAAATGTGCAACTTTCCTGTTTTTACCTTCCTCAGTAGTAGCAGAAGCTTTGTCTAGCTTGGCCTTTAATACAAATACAGTCCCCCAAAGCTTTTATGATATGCACTGTGTTTTATTCATTAGGTTGCTATCCCAAGAGCTCCCATTTCCAATTTGATTTCTATAGTGTCAGCCCTGTGAAGAAAGTTGTGCTGTAAAATAATGGCTAATCCAGCACCTTTTAAAATCATACCACCCTGGTTCAAAGAGACACCTATAAAATGGTACTCTTATATAAGACACAAGCCAAATAAATAATCATGTCTGGAAAAAGTGGAAGAAGTCAATGGAGCAGCATCTATAGGTCCTCAACAGAAAACCAATTATGTATTGAGATGATTAGTGAAAGATACTAATTCGGGCAAACCAGTTTACCTTCACCTTTTGGACAATGTGACTGAGATAGTAATAGCCATCTGTCTGTTTTCTGGCAAGAACTCGTGTCCCCCTCAGCAAATGATGGCTGTTTGTGGTACAGTCCCCTAAATTCTCTTGTATGGAACTTCTTAGACATGTGTTACAAGTATCTGGAGCCCACGCACCCAAAGGAAACCTGTCACAGAGGAAAGCAACAGGCATTAGAAAGTGCAAGATCACTCACCAGAGAATTGGGATTACTGATATAAATGGATTACTAATAAGTATCAACCCTATTGGCACTTACGGCTCCATTCTAACATTGGTAAAATGATTAATAATAACATTAAAATCCATTGGTGACTAAACTTACAGTTTTGTGCAATGATCCGTCAGCGGAGGGAAGCCGAGATGATTGCTGACGTTACCAGGATGATGAAAACCTAAATTACAACCAGTCTTATCCTAAAAGGATGGAAGACATTAGAGAGCAATAATTTTGCATTCTTCTGGGAACTGAGATTGGTAAAACTACACAGTATTTGAGTCCTTTCCAACTAATTGATTTCATGTGTTCATTCCTTCGTGACTAAGAATATCAAAGGCTCATATTATGAATGGCAAGACAATTCTTCTCTGCAATATGTCTGAATGCTTTCCTTTGACTCCCTGATGCTTATGAAGGATTTTCTATCACGATTCATAAGATTATTCCTTCAACCAGAGCTTCCTATGGTATGACCATTTTTGTCCTCCTCTTTCCCTCCCATCTTTTAATATACATACAGTATCTTTATATTTGTTTTTTAAATTAAATATGAATTTTATAGCTTTTACCTTTTTTCATTAATTATGATTTTATTTTCTATTTTAGTGATTATTTTTCTTCTTTATTTTTGTTCAGAAAAGCATCAAAATAAGTCAAGGAAAGAAAAAACAACAACGAACCTTTGTAGAACTAACTCAACAGATTAAATTTTAATGTTATCAAATGAATGGAGTTTAACAAGTCAGACTACTTTTCTTTCCCTAATCAAAGAGTCACAATAGTTATCACAGTTCCCCCAAATCAAGTCATCTGATTCAGAATGACCACCCCCTTATCTTTTTACCTCACAGGAAGCTCCATCAATTGCTTGGAGAGTACCACCAGACATCTTGGCTACTTTCTCCAATAGCTTTTGACCGCTAATTTTATTGCTGTCTCTATTTTCTATCAATTGCACAATATGCACTGGACACGATTGTTTTGTGTCTTTAAGGTGGCTACAGATTTCTTCCACAGAGCCTTCAGCCAATCCACTGGTGAACAGATATATTGCTTGGCAGCTGGGATTTTCTATTGCTTCTTCAATGGCATTCCAGGCATTGGCTTTTCCCTTGCTATTCATCTGCAGAGTTCTGATCCAAGAAGCTGCATCCATGATGTTGGTGAGGGAACATTCTACCAATTCATTCTGCCACTTGAATACCTGGAGAAGAAATTAGTTGCCTCTTCAATGGATCAAAACAGAAATGCTATTGCAAAGTTGCATCTTTCAAACATTACACCCTTGAATAAAATGTTGTTATATTTTGAACATATTTTTAAGCGACCCCCCCCCCCCGGCCCTAACCAGAGCCGTAGTGGCGCAGCAGTTAGAATGCAGTACTGCAGGCTACTTCTGCTGACTGCCAGCTGCCTGCAATTTGGCAGTTCGAATCTCACTAGGATCAAGTTTGACTCAGCCTTCCATCCTTCTGAGATCGGTAAAATGAGGATCAAGATTGTTGGGGACAATATGCTGACTCAGTAAATGGCTGTAAAGCACTGTGAAGTGGTATATAAGTCTAAATGCTATTACTATTGCAGTATAAACCCACTTAGAGTAACAGTTATGTAGCAAATGAATTCACAGCACATCAGTATGCTTAGGAGGGCGCTCAGTTTTTCAGCACACTTTTTCTACCAGTTCATGTTATATACATGGCAAAATCCCATTGGAGGGTAAACCCGCTTAGGGTTAGAATTAGGTCTCCATGAACCGGGAGAGGAAAATGGATGTTGCCAATGAATTTGCAGCACATTGGCATACTTAGGAGGGGTTGAGATTTTCAGCCCACCTTATCAATCTGTTCTTCTTAAATACATTGAAAAATAGCATTAGAGCAGAGTTCCTCATCCTTTCCATCCTTGTGGACCAAGGAAGAAGAGAGGGGATAGTTATGCACGAGCGGTAACAGCCACACACATGCATTCCCCAAACTTCTTGAGCAAGTGGGGATGTGCGTGCATGTTCTGTGGCCCGGTTGTGAATGACTCAAGGCCCAGTAGTGATCTGTAGCCTAGGGGTTGGGGACCCCTGCTCTAGAATGAAAGAGCTATTTTGTTCCACTTCATAACTTTTACATTACCTTGCTGGAACACCAGATGATATTGAACATGGAATCCATTAGTCTGCTACCCAGTGAATATAGAGTTCTTATAAGAAGTTCTTTCATGATACATGGATTGCAAGGATTGCATTCTGAAGTATATATGACAAAAACCACATTATGTTCATGAATGCCAGCCAATAATGGTACAGTAGTGTGACAGAGATGAGGCATCCTACATCACAAACATTAATTACAGAAAATAAAAGTTAATGACAAATGTATAAATATGTAAACACTTCAATAATTTTTCAAATATTTGCACAATGTTTTTGCTTCCAAGAATGGGATGAATCCAGGCTTACTCAAGTTCTGTTGAAATTCATAGAATTTATTATAAATGTAACTTAGATTCTACTCATTTCTCTCTGCTCAATTTAAGATTAAATCTAACCCATTACTCTTAATTATCTTAAATTTCCTGCGTATTTATATTATTGTAAATTCTCCCTATTTCCCCTAATAGTTTCACTAAAAATTTAAATAGCATTCACATGCATTTTTCCTTCTTCTTCCAAAAAAGAGAATTCCTGTAAATCATTTCGAATACCCATAAAGTAAGGTAACTTGTAATACCAATAGTGATAAAAAATTGTCTCTTTTGAATTCATCTATGTAAATTATGGAAACATGGAATGATAAAATAAACTTGAAATTTATTGCCACAAGACAGTAAGATTTTATGTACTGATGTATTTTCAAGTCGGGGAGCAAGAACAGAATTATATTGGTTTAAGTCTGGTGTATTCATGCGGCATAGAAATAAAGCTTCTTCATCCATGCTGAACCATGGATGAAGTCAGCCTTGAATCTGCTGGGAGGGAGACCAGGTCTGTGCACCTCTACACATTCTCTGAAACTATTATAATTAATTTCCTTGTGTTTGGAAATTCTTATCCTGAGCAGCAGAAGCTCACGGGCTGTTTTTGGATCTGTCACTTGATTCTCTCTGTTAGGACTGCTCCATTCATCAGTCAATAACCATCAATCAAATAAGTGGAGCCTTAGAATCAGGGACAGGACTGCTGTGTGTCAATAGCAAAGAGGCATCTTTCATTATTGTGTCTTGTTTTAAAGCTTCTAAAAGCACCTGGCTGGATGCTTTTAAAATCACTGTGAAATAATCTTCACTGGTCCTGGGTGCTACCAACACCATAATCCATGACCATTTCTTCCACAGGGAAATGAGGGCCTATAAGTAGATTATACAAAGTAACTTCCATTTAAAGATAAAATAGAGATTAATTTTTTAAAATCCACCAAAAATCATTTCAGAATATACAAACATACTAAGTGTGTTTATACCCAGGATGGGGTATAAAATAAACACAGTCACAAAAAACAGGTAAATCCCCTTTTATTCCATCACTTTGCTTCCAAGCTCCAAATATCCTTGATTGAAGACAAAAAACTCCCACACAAGCAGTTACAAGAAGGAGGAAATGCAGTTTAAATTATAAAGAGTAAAAGACAACACAAACCAGGCAAGATAAGGGCTGGAAGACGTCCACAGATATCAGGACACACACTGGGAAGGACGCTAAACTCAGAGAGGAAACATAAACTAGAGATATTTCCACGCTTTGTTTCCAGCATTGGCCTGTTCGCATTTCCATCCTCTTATTGTCACAGCTGCAGCCCATGAAGAGGATCAAGGCCCTCTCCTCCTGAGTAGACCACATCTCTCCCTTATCCTCCCTGCGTGCCCTAGGATGGATAGGGGATGGGCCTGGGTCCTCTGATTGCCCAGCCAGCCTCTGCCCTTTCCCAGCCTCCTCCACAACCTCCGGAGCCACACTTCCACTCCCTATCGGCTGTTCCTCCTTTTCCTCAGAGTCAGTCTCCATCAGGGGCATGACACTAACTAACTAAGACAGTATAACAGAATTGGAAGGGACTTTGGAAGTCTTCTACTCCACCTCCCTGCTCAAGCAGGAGACCCCAAACCATTCTGGACAAATGGATGTCCCTCTTTTCTTCAAAACCTCCAGTGACAGAGCACCCATTGATTCATTGTTCTCACCGTCAAAATATTTCTCCTTAGTTCTATGTTCTCTCCTAGATAATTTTCCATCTGTTACTTCTTGTCTTGCACTCAGGTGTTTTGGAGAATAGGTCCACCCCCTTCTGCCTGTGACAGCTCCTCAGATCTTGAAAGACTCTGCTCTCAAGTCACTCCTAGTCTTTCTCTTAGACTAGCCATCCCTGGTTCCTGCAACCGTTCACCATGTTTCATCCTCCAGAATAACCGACTGACTGATTGACTGACTAAGTAAAATGCAATGCAGTACAGTACAGTACAATACAATACAATACAATACAGTACAGTACAGTACAATACAATACAATACAATACAATACAATAGCAAATGATACTATCACTTAAAAGAAGCTACTGGAAAGTTTCCCTATCCATAACGATTATATACCTATATCTGTATCTTTTTATTTCGAAGAAACAAACCGGTATCTTGTTCTACTGTGCTTACTGTTCACCCATCATATTTGCACATGGCACATTTAATGCTTCTCACCTTCTTGTAGGCTGCTGTTCTCGGTCACCCCTTTGCTTTGCCTGTCTCTCTCCCAACTCACCGGAATCCAAATCACAACCTCGCTGCCTAGCAACCGCCTGGCACCGCGGACTACTAAACCATTTCTAGCGCCTCTGCTGGGGAGGACAACCCGCTGCATGTTTTGCAACACGTCCCGCCCCGCTGCAGAACCAGCCTCTCGACGGATCCCCAGAAAAGCAAAGCCGAATCCAGGACCGGGTTAATGGTGGGATGGGAGGAAGTTCTAGGGCTAGATTGAAATCGTATTGAAATGCCTTCGAATATTAGTAGCTCGGGTTGGTAGTTTTGTTGTTGGTTGGCAATTTGGTTTTCGTGGAGAAGACCTCTTTCGGCGCGCTTTAAATTTTATTTAAAAAAAAAATGATCGGAGGTGGCTTTTAAAATTTTATTTACAGTAAAACGACTTGAGCTCCGGTGTAGACTTCAATGGAGTTTTGTATCCGTGCAGTTCCAGGGATCCAAGGCCAACTTGGAAAAAAATTTGCTTTACTTTCTATCACTTAGTTCCCCTGCTCCCTCCAGCGGGAGGGGGGGGGGGTAACCTCTTTTTCCTGGGCCAGGCTCGAAAAGACCCCGCGCCCAGTTCCGTCAGAGGAAAACCTTCCCTTCTCTGTTCCGGGACTCCCATTGGAGCGCGCGCTAAAGACGGGCAGTCCTTCCAGCCAATCAGAGCGAGGGTTACCGGGAGCTTCCGGCAACCTGGCCGCCGTAAAGTAACCTTGGCGGCAGTAGGAGGTCTCGGCGGCCTCCGGGATGGCCGGGCCTCTGTGCCGAGCGACGGGAGGCCTGAGCTTGCTGAGTCGACTGGTTCGCCCCGGAGGCAAGCTAAGCCCGCGCCCTGGAGTGCGGCGGTGAGTGGGGCAGTTTGGGGTTGGGCCAAGGTGAGAAAAGGGGAAAGGCTGGGGCCCGGCCGTCAGTTGCTCGGGGGCTTGAACGCGGAGGTGGATCCGATGCAGGGCGCCTGAGCTGCCCTTTCCCTAACCCTAACCCTGCATAAGCTTTTAAGGCAGATTCGCAATTCACTACTAAGGCATATAAAAAATGGCATAAAATGTCGTGGCTTTCATTAAGGAATGTTAAAAGGCATCTTTAAAACTTTCTATTAAAAAAAACTTAATGCCTTTTAATAAAAAGAGCTCGCTGGGCAAGCTGCTACTGGACTCTTACCTGATTTTTTTTTTGGTCTTCATAATAGACTAACGTGACCGTCCCTATAATTTTGAGAAAAGTCCTCGAGGTTTTCCCCAGGATCAAAATACCAGTGACGTTGCTATCATTCCCATTCTCCACCCCCATATTTTAAATATCTTGTTTCCCACTTTCAAAACATCTTGCTACTTTTTTTTAATTGCTAAGAATGCTAAGGAGATGCTGCCCTGTTGTAATTGGGCAGCTAATATATTCAAATACATTTATTCAACTTCTACCCTGCCCGTTTCATTGAAGCAACTCTAAATACCTATGGGCCCAGTTTTGTTGAAAAGGGGAGATGAGTGTTAATAATTTCAAATAAATAAATTATTTGAAATACATTAAAAGAAATACATATAAACTAGGCCTAGGGTTATTGTTGAAAAAAGAAAAACACAATGACAGTAGAGATCAGTGTGCTGCTTCATGGATTCTTCTTTTGTTTCTTGTAAGCATTTGAAGGGATTAATTTTTAACATTTCTGATGGGGAAGGAAAAAGCCAGAGTAGGGATTTCAGAAATGTATTGTAGATGGTAAACTTGGAAAGCAGGGGACCTGGTTTACTCCCCTTGAAAAAACTGTTTGTATTAAAAGAGGAGAACACCAGTTTTGTGCATGGTTAAAGCAACAGGCTAGAAACTGGGGGACCAAAAGTTTTAGTCCTGCCTTAGACACAAAGCCAGTTGGTTGACCATGCCAGTCACTTAGAGCTTAGGAATAGGAGTAGTACTATATTAATTTAATTTATTTGATTCTTTTTATTAGTTTTATTGTTTTAAATGTTTTATGTTCTGTAAGCCACCTTACAGTTGCCATAGGCGAATAGGTGGCAATATAAATTCAATAAATAAATAATAACTAGAATAGAGCTGGAAGGGACCTTTGAGGTCTTCTCGTCCAGTCCCTTGCTCAAGCAGACCTTATACCATTTCAGACAAGTGGTTGTCCAGTCTCTTAACCTCCAGTGATGAAGCACCCCAATTTCTGAAGGCAAGACCTTCTACTGATTAATTGTTTTCACTATTAGGAAGTTTCTCCTTAAGTCCAGGTTTCTTCTCTCCTTGATTAGTTTCCAACCTTTGTTTGTTGTCCTGCACTCTGATGCTTTGGAGAATAATTTTTAATCTCTTCTTTGTGGCAGCCCCTCAAATATTGAAATACTGCTATCATGTCACCCCTAGTTTTTATTTTCTGTAGACTAGCCAAACCCAAATCCTGCAACCCTTCATAAGTTTTAGTCTTCATGTTTTAGAGCTGACAATGGCAAGGCATTTCTGAAAAACCTTGTCAAAAAACCCTTCAGGAACTAGTCCAGGCAGTTGGCAGGAATCAAAGTTGGATTTGAAGGCGCGCATACACACACACAAATGCATCAATTAATGAATATTAAAAGGCATAAATGTTTT